GTTATCGATCTCTTAATGAAATGTCCATATTACCATGATTAGACAGACACCCCTTCATCCAGAGCTGGTTTCCTTGAATACAAAAATCCTGCCTGGGGTAACATTCATTGAACTGCTTCTTTGTATGCTCAAATCAACTCAGTGATATAAGCATCAAGATTGATGGGAGAGGCCCTGGCTGGCGTGGCTCAGTTGGTTGGAGCACTATCTGTAACCAAAGGGTTGTGGGTTTTATTCCCAGTCTGGGCACATACTTAAGTTGCAGGTTTTAGCCCCGGTTGGGGTCTGTATGACCCCCAGTCTGGGCACCTACAGGAGGCAACTAATCAACTTTCTCTTATTGATGTCTCTCTCTCTTTCTTTTTGACTGTCTAAAAAATAAAAGCAATGAAAAAATGTCCTCAGGTGAGGAATAAAAGGAAAAAGAAAAAAAAAAAAGAATGACTACAGAATAGAGAGAATATAAGGAAAGGATGTCCTATTATGTGCTAGGAACTCTGATAAGAGTTTTATAAAATTTTGTCAGGATGCAAGCTGGCAGAGAAGTAAGTGGAAGCTACACTAACCTCCTCCCATGACCAATCTGGAATTACAACTAAATTGCAAAGAAATCATCTTGAATAACAAAAATTATCTCATGGAAGCCTCACAAGAATCCTAGGAGGTGATTTTATATAAATATATGTATATTTATATATATGTCAACCAGAGCACAGAGAGGTCAAATACATTGTCCAGGATGATACAGTTATTAAATTGTGGAGCCAGAATTCAAATGTGACACTCCACACAATTTTGCCTTTGAATGTAAGAGAGAAGGGTAAGTAGAAGATATTAAGAAAAAGAAAATTCTGTGTAAACTTGAAAACTGTATGGTTTTGCAAACCAATGTCACCCCAATCAATTATATTAAAAATAAATAAATTAAAAATAATTATTTTTACTATCCTAAGATAACATAGGAAAAAACAGACAGAACTTCCCTTCTGCTTACCCTTGACACACCAGCTGCCTATTTGAATGAATCTCTGAGCACACCCCAAGTTGGCAAATTGTATACTGATAAGGAGTTAATATTAAAAATATAAAAGGGACTCATTACAACTCAATAGCCAAACAAAACAAAACCTCCCCTCAGAAAAAAAAAAGAAACCCAAACAAACCCAACCAAATAAGCTGATTAAAAAATGGGCAGAGGATCTGAAGAGAGATTTTTCCCAGAGAAGACATACTAATGGTCAACAGGTACATGAAAAGGTTCTCAACATCACGAATCATCATGGAAATGTAAATCAAAACCATAACGAGATATCACACACATGTGTTAGAATGGCTATTATCAAAAACATTAGAGATAACAAGCGTTGGTGAGGATGTGGACAAAAGAGAACACTTGTGCACTATTGGTAGAAAAGTAAATTGGTGCAGTTACTATGGAAAACAGTATGGAGATGCCACAAAAAGTTAAACATAGAAATACTATATGATCTAACAATCTCACTCCTGGTTATATACCCAGAGAAAATGAAATCATAATCTTGAAGAAATATGAGTCTCCATGGTTATTGAAGCATTATTCACAATAGCCAAGATATGGAAACAACATAAATGTTGCTCAATGGATGAATGGTAAAGAAAATTTAGCATTAAAAAAATAATGAACAAAATAAAACCACAGGCATGGAAACATGGAGCAGGCTGAAAGTGACCAGAAGGAAGAGGGGAGGGAGACAAAAGTGGAAAGAAGGGTAAGGGACTAGACAAAGAGCATGTGTGAATGACCCATGGACATGGACAACAATGTGAGAATTGACTGTGAGAGCAGAGAGGGGGGTGGGATGTGTGGAGGAGGGCAAAGGGGGAAAAATGGAGACAACTGCAATAGAATAACTGTAAACTATTTTTAAAAAAAAGTAAAAAAAAAGAGAAGGAAACCCTACTATTTGCAACAACGTGGATGGACTTTAAGGATATTTTTCTTAGTGAAATAAGTCAATAAAGACAGTTACTGTATGATTTCACTCACATGAAACTGAAAACATCCAACTCATAGAAACAAAGAGTAGATGGTAGTTGCCAGTGGCTGGGGGTGGGGGAAATGGAGAGATGTTGGCCAAGGGTACAGACTTCCAGTTATAAGATAAGTAAGTTCTGGGAATCTAATGTACAGCAATGTGACTATAATTAACAATACTGTATTATATTCTGCTATGAGAGTAGATCTTAAATGTTCTCATCACACATATACACACACACAACTGGTAGACATGTGAGAGGGGATGGAGGTGTTAACTAATCTGGATGTGGTAATCATTTTACAAATTTACATGTATCAAATCATCATGTTGTGCACCTTAAACTTATACAGTGTCATATGGCAATTTTATCTCAATAAAGCTAGGGAAAAATATAAGACAGAAACACAAATGTGGCAAGTTGTTGAGAGAGGGTGAATCTATACAAAGGGTATATATGAGTTTATTATAATATTGTTACAATTTTATGTGGGCTTGAATTCCTCTTGAAAATAAAGTTTTATTAATTTTCTAAAAAAGAGAGAATAAGGAGGGCTTGTCATGCCAGATATAAGAACATACCAAAAAGCCACTGCAATGAAAACAACAAGGTATTTGTGTCTGAAGAGACAAATATGACAAGTTGAGTGAAAGAAAGAAGCCAGATAGAACTTCAGATGGACTAAAGTTCTAAAAATGAACAGCAAAACAATATGTACATGTATAGATACAATAATTGATAGAACTATGGATGGGCATATGGTAGCTTGTTAATATACATTAATGGGACAATAAGGCAAGAAATGAGGGGAGAGGAAAGCCAATCCAAAACAGAAAGAAGAAAAAGTACCACATTAACAAAAAGCAGGATGTAAGATTCTATCAAAAGTATTATGTAAAATTATATAAACATATTTATTTGAGAATAGACATTTTAGCCCTTGTTGGATTTCTCAGTTGATTTTAACAGTGTCCTGTACACTAAAAAGTTTGCAGGTTCAATCCCTGGTTAAGGCACATACCTAGGTTGTGGTTTCCTCTCTGGTCAGGGCGTGTATGGGAGTCAGCCAGTAGATATTTCTTTCTCACATTGATGTTTCTCTCTATCTCTCTCTCCCTTCCTCTCTCTTTAAAATCAATAAACATATCCTTGAGTGATGATTAAAAAATAATAATAGACATTTTATAAATTGAGAATGAAAAATCTATTAAGATTTGCATATACATTTTATTGTAATTTATATGTATCCATCTGTTTTAGCTAATATAAAAACAAAGTTCATTTTAGTTAGTATATTTTAAAATAATTTGTGTGCTGTTTTTTTAAACGTTGTATTTATTTATTTTTGGAGAGAGGAGAAGGGAAGGAGAAAGGGAAAGAAATATTGACATGTGAGAGAAACATTGATGGATTGCCTCTCCATGTGCCCACATGGGGACAGAACCTGCAACCCAGGCATGTGCTCAGACCAGGAACTGAACCTGTGACCTTTTGCCTTGTGGAGCAATGCTCAAGCAACTGAACCACACTGGTCAGGGCAAAATAATTTGTGTGTTTTGATTTACATTTGTGTATTTGAATTTTTATTGATACTATTTTCAATTCAAAAATAAATCTATGGTTTATGTAAGCACAAGAGCAGTTATAGAAGTAGTAATGCAATGCAACAATTTAAAATAATTCTATACAAATTGAGAGCAGTCCTTTGGTATGGATATAGAATGTGAATCAATAGTACTAAGTTACTTTGCAAGGATGTTTGTATAAGCAACCAAAACAGAAAGTGCCAATAGAGAGCACCCCCTCTTCAAATTTTATGTGCTTTAAATAACTCTCTAATTTAATTAAGAATTTGATATTTGGGTTTCAAGTTCAAGATCTAGTTTATTCTTCTAGTGATAATTTACCTGAATGATGGGAGGAAGTAGAACAAGAGGATATTAACTATAAGAATTAATTATTAATATTATTGTGGCTTGCATGGTGTTCTTCCAAGTGGTTGCCCTTGACTGTACCTATAAACAGTACTATATACATACAAACTACAAACAAACTATACAAACTATATGTACATACAAACTATAGATTTGGATGGCCACTGCCAATGTGTTTTGAAACAGATGCTTCTGATTTCTTAATCTCTAGCAGTCCTCCAAAAAAGATAGTGGTTTGAGAAACCCTGATTTTTACCATAGCATTTGAAAGAATGAACATAGCTTCCTAGTGTATTTCCAAAAATCCAGTGTGTTATAAATGCCTCTTCCCTACCTTGATTCACATCTCAGCCTGCAAGCAGAGCACCCCAACTAAGCCTCTTTGGAAAGGGAGATTTTAGCAGGAACTTTTTCCCATTAGCTGTGTGCACCTTTTTCCATACACTCCCTCTTCCAGTGCTGTGATCATTGCTGTTCTTGCTTGGTCTTTTTCCAAGAATCTCCATCTTTCTCTGAATGTTTGTAACTGTTCTCACTAGACATCTATCTTCTTTTTCTGATGATCCCAGTTACACTATTTTATAAACATTTCTAGGAAAATAATGGTTGTTTTTGTCCGAGGCACATTTATTTTGTTTTCTGCACTTAGTTGTGATTTCTGACCTGAATACTGCTTTTTATTGCTTACAAGGAAGCACAGAGATACGACCAAGTTATAGGCAAGCAGACTACTGCCATAACATCCTCCTTCCTAGAACCAGCCCTACCAGAAACAAAAGTATAAATAAAGCCAAATAGGAAACAGGACCATGCTTGGAACTCTCTCCGGATGGAGAACAAATAATACCTGTATAGACTAGAGATTAGGAAAGGGGAAGGAAAAATGGTATGAAATTACGGAAGGAAGTTGGCAGGCTCAGTGTTTCTGTGTAGCACAGCCAGTTTCTCTTCATCCTTTTCCCAGAAGTAGGGCTTGGTACCAGGGCTCCACAAATAAAAGGAGGTGAACCTGCGTGGTGCCCGCATATCAGATTCTCGGGTGAAGCCAACATGATGTCCTTTGTCTCTCTGCTCCTAGTGAGCGTTCTATTCCCTGCTCTCCAAGCCAAGCAATTTACAAAATGTGAGCTGTCCCAGGTGCTGAAAGACATGGATGGCTATGGAGGCATCACTTTACCTGAATGTGAGTTTTCTGCTGCCTTGCTTCATCCCATTCTTCATCTGCTTCTCTCCTCCACCCTCTTTTTCCTCCCTTTTTCATTGAATTATCTAATAATCCTCTTACCTTTACTGTTTATCTGTTTACTCTTTTTAAATATATTTTTATTGATTATGTTATTACAGTTGTCCCAATTTTTTCCCTTTGCCCGCCTCCACCTGGTACCCCCATTCCCTCCAGCAATCCCCCACTTTGTTCATGTCTATGGGCCATACATATAAGTTATTTGGCTCCTCCATGACCTATACTGTTCTTATCATCTCCCTGTCTATTTTGTACCTACCAATTTGTGCTTCTTAATCCCTGCAACTTTTCCCCCATTTTCCCTCTTACCCCTCCCAAATGAAAACCCTCCTAATGATTTCCATATCTATGATTCTGTTCCTGTTCTGCTTGTTTGCTTAGTTTATTATTTGGATTCAATTATTGATAGTTGTGGATTTATTACCATTTTAATGTTCATCATTTTGATCTTCTTTTCCTATATGATTGATTCCCTTTAGCATTTCCTGTAATAATGGCTTGGCGATGATGAACTCCTTTAATTTTACCTTGTCTGGGAAGCACTTTATTTGCTCTTCAATTCTCAATGCTAGCTTCACTGGATAAAGTAATCTAGGTTGTAGCTCCTTGCTTTTCATCACTTAGAGCACTTCTTGCCAGCAAAGTTTCTTTTTGAGAAATCAGCTGACAGTCTTATGGGAACTCCTTTGTAGGTAACTCTCTGCTTTTATTTAGCTGTTTTTAAGATTCCCTCTTTGTCTTTAACCTTTGGCTTTTTAATTATGATGTGTCCTGGTGTGTTCCTCTTTGGGTCCATCTTGATTGGGACGCTCTGTGCTTCCTGAACTTGTATGTCTATTTTCTTCACCAAATTGGGGAATTTTTCTTTCATTATTTTTTCAAGTAAGTTTTCAGTTTCTTGCTCTTCCTTTTCTCCGTCTGGAACCCCTACGATTTGGATGTTGGTATGTTGAAAGTTGTGCCAGATGTTCCTAACCCTGCCCTCATTTTTTTGAATTCTTTTTTCTTCCTGTTGTTCTGATTGAATGCTTTTTTCCTTCCTTGTGTTCCAAATTGTTGATCTGATTCTCTGGTTCATCCTCTCTACCATTGGTTCCCTGTAGATTTTTCTTTATTTCACTTAATGCAAACTTCATTTATGCCTAGATCTTTTTTTTTTATGCTGATGAAGTACCCAATGAGTTCCTAGAGCATCCTGATGACCAGTGTTTTGAACTGTGCACCTGATAGGTTGCTTATCTCTGTTTCACTTAGTTCTTTTTTTTTTTTTTTTGGTGTTTCATTCTGTTCTTTCATTTGGGCCATATTTCTTTGTCTCCTTGTTTTGGAAACCTCCCTGTGTTTGTTTCTGTGTATTAGGTAGAGCTGCTTTGACTCCCTTTCTTAGCATAACTGTTAAGTTGTATGGAGCAGAGCCTTAAGTAATTGCCAGGGCTGAGCAGCCTGTGTCACTGCTGTATTGCTCTGTGTGTGGGAGGCTTGCAGAGGGGCCAATGCCACTGCCTGGCCTCTGGAGTTTTGCCTGGGAGGAAGCTGTTTGCCCACTTGCACTTCACTTTCTCCCTGTATGCTACTGGTGCCCCTCCAGCTATTGTCCTTGTGCTGAATCCTAGAAGGAGTGGGTCTGCATGAGTCCTAAGTTTATTATGGGCCCTTTAAGAAGACACAGTTTCTTCTGCCACTCCACCCCCACCACTGGTTTTTACAGCCAGAAGTTATACTGACTTATCTCCCTGGCACCTGGACCCAGGGCTCGGTGGTCCGGACTGGGGCTGGGATCCCTCACTTCTGAGGTATCCCTTCCCATTTTTTATCTACCTCATGAGAATGTGGGACTGCCCATTCCATCTCCATGCCTCCCTGTGTCTTTGCCCTTCCTACCCATCTGGATGAAAGTGGCTTCTTTAAATCTTTGGTTGTTGGACTTCCACATAGCTCAATTTCCTGACAGTTCTGTGTAAAATTTGTTTTGTAGTCTGGTTGTATTTTTTTCCTATAGCTGTGAGTGGAGGCAAGGCATGTTTACTTATGCCTCCATCTTGATGGGAAATCTGTTTACTCTTTTAATGCATTTATTCTCTTATCTTTTCTTTTTCCCATTGTCTTATCTTTTTGGAACCTTCTTTTTATCTCATCAAAATACTCTGTGCTTTGCTGTATTTGGGGATTTTCTGGAGATCCTTTTTCTCTCTAGGAACACAGGTCCTCATTTATACTGTGCCTAAACATCTCTGTGACATGTTTTTCCTCATTCCTCAGGGATCTGCACCATATTTCATATGACTGCTTATGACACACAAAGTGTAGTCCATAACAATGGCAGAACAGAATATGGACTCTTCCAGATCAATAATAAACTTTGGTGCAGGGATAAACATATACATCAGTCAAGGAACATCTGTAACATCTCTTGTGAGAGTGAGTAGTTTCTTGTACCCTGTTTCTCTGTTTTTTTTTAAAAGATTTTATTTATTTAATTTTAGAGTGGGGAAGGAAGGAAGAGAGAGGGAAAGAAATATGTGTGGTTGGATTTCACATGCCCCCTGTGGGGTACCTGGCCTGCAACCCAGGCTTGTGCCCTACACTAGGAACTGAACTGGTGACTCTTTGGTTCACAGGCTGGTGTTCAGTCCACTGAGCCACACTAGCTAGGGCATGTTTCTCTGTTTTTATGGAAGCCACCCCTGGGATACTCTCTGATTCATTTCCTTGGACTCCACATCAACTGTGGGACTTGAATTGAGAGTACTGACTAAGAGGCTACTAGAATTTATTATGATCACCAAATCCCCAAACAGTCCCCTAGAGTTCACAGGTAGATGATTTGAGCTGTCTAGGAGTCTTGAAGTCTGATACCCTGCATTTTCAGAGTAAGTCAGTTGATGAAGTTGATAATTCCTCCAGAGATGCCCTTTACCTAGGGGGAGGCATTATCATATTGGTTTTCTTATAGAGGAAGGCAACAGTTCAGAGAAGGACCAGACCTTCTAGAGAGATCTAAACAGATCAGGTAAACAGGTCTTTGAACTGTGACCTTCCTCTGTAATACTTAGCTCTCTCATTTTGTTCCCTGCCAGAGTTTTTGGATGATGACCTTACTGATGACATGATGTGTGCCAAGAAGATTCTGGATAGTGAAGGAATTGACTACTGGTAAATCCCCATTCTATTTTCTATGTTTCCCTTCCCTTCCTTCTTCTCACCTCTTTAGCTCCAGCACCACTCCCCTCCTTTCTATCTTCTGGTCATTTATCCTAGAATACAGTTCCCAAATCGACACTCATCGAGCAGACTCAGGTTTCCAAGTTTTAAGCTTCCTTTACTTCACTCCTGTTTAGCAATTGTTCTAATAAGGCTGAGACTCAGCCTCTTTTCGCCTAGACTTGGATATCTATTCTACCTGTATATTCCTAGGCCTTAAAGTGAACCCTTAGTACCACTGTACACCTTTTCTAGCCCTACTTTTTTTTTTTGAGTTTTAAAAATGGGCCCTACTACACTAGGTGGCTCATCAGGCTAGGAATGTCTTTTGGTAATTTTCATCCATACTGTTCCATCTCAGTTCAGCCCCCCTGGGGATAAAGCTAAATGGAAGTGTGAGCTAAGATCTTGTCAGCCAACTTTGCTTGTCTCCTTTCCATTATCAGGTTGGCCCATAAACCACTCTGCTCTGAGAAGCTGGAACAGTGGCTCTGTGAGAAGTTGTGAGCGCCCACTGGCTGTCCTTGCTGCTTCGGCCCTTTTTATGCTCCTGGAACTCCTCTTCCCCAAAGATACCTCAGTCTGTATCTTTCTACTCTCTTGAAGCTAATTTGCCTTTGAGTCTTGGGTCCTATAGTAACACCATTGGACACTTGAGGACTGTTCTCCTGGCGGTGCCTGACTGGTGCACTGAACTTTTGTCCCATCCTCAGTGCCCCTGATGGCACTATCACTACAACAATGGATTCTACCTCTGGTCTAAATAAAGGGCCTGATTTTGAGTAACTGGCTGTATTTTCTTCCTGGAGGGAGAGGGGGGAAGTAGGGTGAGTGGGTAGACGCTGAAACCATAGGTCATAGCCACCTCTCATCTCTACTGAAGAGGAAATAGGCTGAACCTGTAACAGAATGATGGTTTTTACTTTCTGTACCAATTTATTCAGCACACTTCTTTGGGTCACCTCATATATTCAAAGAACTATAGAGGGGATCCAAAATTGGCTAAAAGGACTAGTAAGAGAGAAGAGATAAACATTAATAAACAATTATAAAAGGAATAGTATCATAAACATCATGAGGGAGGTTAGAAATACACCCTGAGCATCCATAAGAGGAAAAGCAATTTATATTTGGGGGTGTGTGTGGGAGAAGGGATCAAAGAAGAATTCATGAAAGGAGTGGGATTTGAGTTGGTTTGGAGTGCGGATGGGATTTTGACACATGAAGTTGCGGTGTTGGAAAAAGACAGTCAGGGCAGGGGCTCCAAGAATCTGAAATGGGTGACTTGAGGGGTTTGAGGGATTTCTTTACCTGTGAGATAAGGAAATATTCTTCTCAAAGAGCCATGAGAGGAACTCTGGAGACCAGAGATAAGAACAGGGGACCCTTACAGTCAGCTCAGTAATTGAAGAATCTGGACACCTGGGACCTTTTGGTTTGGTCCCTGTTCTCCATTACTCTTCCTTGCTGCTTCACTTATTTTCAAGGAGAATTTTCACAGAACTTTATTCAAATGATTATGAGAAATGTGAAAGAAGGAAAACTGGGAGATTTGAGTCTGTTACCAAACAGCAAGTTGGGGTCCTGCTGCCTGCCGCCACCCTCTAGACAAAATTCCAGAGGCACAGGTTTGGTGATAAAGGAGTCTTTATTCAAAAGCTTCACAATTTTGGAATAATAACTTTCCACAGGCATTAGTCACTTAAGCCGATCAATTAAGGCCAAACTAATGTTAGTTACAGCTTTAATCACTTAAACCTATCAATTAAGGCTAAACTCTAACCACCTGAGTTCTCCTAGCATTTCCACCTGTTGGTTTTAATTATCTTATTTTTATAGTTAGTTTACAAACTAAAACAACATAAGATGCAAAAGCTACACAATTTTGGAAGAATGGCAGGCTTCTGCCTCAGGGCTCATCATCTCTAGAATAACCCTGCTGCCCTCTGCCAGGCCAGCCTGACTCCGACCTGTGGCTGGAGTTTCTTTCCATCCAAAAATTCACCCAAAATACCATCTGCTGGGAAATGCAGGCAGCTGCAGCACAATCATCCAGGTCTTCTTAAGAAAGAGAGCCTGAGAGGGAGAGAGATCGAGAGAGACAGACAGACAGACAGAGCATGTGAGCTTGCACCCCAGAGCCGGCTGATCCTGGAGGTTGAGAACCCTTCCTTTATTTAAAATCTTCTAGCCCATAATTCCATGCGCTCTGGGGGCATTCACTTCTTAGCCAATCCCATTTTTCTGTATCAAGTCTTAACGTCTGTTTCTGCTACTCATTGGGTAGAAATCTGGGCAGGTTATCTCCATTCTCTGTACCTCCATTTTCTCTTCAAATGAGTGTTTTAATGTAGGTGGTTTTTCAGAGATTTCTTCCTCCTTTGACAATCCAGAATTCCAAAACTCCAATTTAATTTACCGTATTTCTGAATTACCTGAGTTATATTCTAATTCTTGTCTTCTTCCTGCCTTCGTAAAATGTCTAACATAGCTAATCATACTGCTCCCACCTGCTATATCCACTGGTGCTTTAAGCAATCTGACCTCACTCCTCTTGCCTCAGAGACTAGCAGCTGCCAAATGAGGCCCCTGGCCTGTTGAGGGACCTAGAGGGCCAGTCAAATAACTTGATGTTCATCAAACGATTATAGTGTGAATTAAACGCAATGTGATGCATTCCCCAGGGGTATAGCATGCTATTCACCTCTTAATGATGGGACAAAAAGCTTTTCCCCAAGTCTGCAGTGTTTTAGGAGTAGCCCCTGTGTATCGGTGTATGGTGAGGGCGGGACTGGATGTCCATTCCTCCCATTGAGCTCACACATCTACTTCTTACTTATTATCCTGCCTTGGTTATACCCTCAGGGAGCCATATGCTCTGAAAAATATAAGGGATCAGCTCCATTAAGTGGCCAGAGCAGAAATGCTACTAAAGGTGAGGCTGTTTGGGGCTCAGCCCCCTAGCCCTGGCCTTCATCCTACAGAGAAGATCAGGAAATTTCACCTGTGGGTATACAGTTGATGAGGCCTTAATCTTCAGAGGCCTTTGCTGAAAGAAACTGACAAAACTGTAGAGAGGGTTGCAGTCTGAGGGTCAGAGGATGACGACAGATTGGTCAGGGAGCTGGCACGGAGGCAGTCTTGAATGGTGTGGTGGTCTTGGCCTTTGGGTAGAAACAGAAGGAAAAAGCTATTGTTTATTTTTTATTGTATTTTTTCCATTACCATTTATCCCCCTTAGACCTCCATTTCCCCCACAATCATCGTACTGTTGTCCATGTCCATGAACCCTTTTTCCTTTTTGCTCTATCTCTCCACCCCCAAACCACCCCTCCCATAGCTGTCATCCTGCTCTCTATGAGCCTAGCTGCTATTGTTTTCTTCCTGAGAAGTTCCTTGGGAGCTGAATGAGAGGTGGGATGGCAGTTGAGCACTTGTTCTGCTCTCTGTAACTCCTTCTTATTCCTCTAGGCCTGGGACATCTGGAACCAGGCTGGGAGCTGAAGCGGTCCAGGCTGAGGTGCGCCGTGGGGAAGCTCAGGGCACGGGCCATCACAGTGTGTGCCATTCGGAGTTCTGTGTGAGGACGACTCTGGACAGCGCTCCGAAATCTGGATTCCTTTTCTCTCTTTCTACCCTAGTTTGTCCTCCCTGCCTCTTTCCTCTGACATCTATATTGTTGTGAATGCAGGAATTTAACTGGATAAAATTAACTATTCCTTTTAATATGTTTCTTCTCTTACTCCCCCTTCTCATTAATTCATTCTTTTCACTTATCTAACGCTAGTTCAAACCAAGGCTATTCTAGACACTGGGGATTTAAAAGCTATTAGACAGGGGCTTTGCGCTCAAGACTTACATATTAGAAAAGGATATTTCTAACCTCTCATTTTCTAGGACCACCTAAGAGACAGGACTCTTCAGACTCATCATTCATTCCTTAATTTGTCAACAAATAGTTATTGAGGATTTGTTATTTGCTAGGCTTTGCTTTATCACTTCTTTAATTTACTTTTTTTATCCCTATTATTTTTTTTAACTTAAGTTATATTTTATTGTTTATGCTATTACAGTTATCCCAGTTTTCCCCCTTTGCCGTTTTCCAACCAGATCCCCTCACTCCTTCAGGCAATCCCCACAACGTTGTCCATATCCATGGGTCATGCATATATATTCTTTAACTACTGCATTTCCTAAGCTGTACATTGCATCCCCATGACTATTCTGTAACAACCAATTTGTACTTCTTAGTCTCGTCACCTTTTCCCCCCGTCACCCCAATACCCCACCCATCTGGCAATCATCAAAACATTCTCTGTACCTGTGATTCTGTTTCTGTCCTGCTTGTTTGTTTATTTTGTTTTTTAGATTATGTTAGTGATAGATATGTATTTATTGCCATTCAATTTTTAATATTTTTGATTTTATTCTTTAAAAAAATTTTTAATTAATTAATTTATTTTTCCAAATACATTTGTCTCTGCCTTCCCCCTACCACTATCCCCTGCCCCCTCCTCCCTCTCCCTCCCTCTATCCTTCCCCACTTTGGTTTTGTCCATGAGTCCTTGCTATATGTTCCTTGACTTGCCCCTTCCCTTCCTTTTCCCCTGCCCACCCCTCCCTTCTTCCCTCTTGTCTCTGTTGCTATCTTTTTCTTTCAGTGTTGCTGGTCTTATTTTCCTTGCATCTTTGTTTTGTTGATTAGGTTCCACCTATACATTTCATATAATACTGGTTTGGTGATGATGAACTCCTTTAGTTTTTTCTTGTCTGGCAAGTTTTTATCCGTTCCTTGATTCTAAATGATAGCTTGGCTGGGTAGAGTAATCTTGGTTGTGGGCCTTTGTTTTTCATAAATTTGAATATTTCTTGCCAGTCCCTTCTAGACTGCAAAGTTTCTTTTGAGAAATCAGCTGATAGTTTTATAGGAGCTCCCTTGTAGGTAACTAACAGTGGTTTTTCTTGCTGCTTTTAAGAGTCTCTCTTTGTCTTTAACCTTTGGCATTTTTATTATGATGTGTCTTGGTGTGGTCCTCTTTGGGTTCATCTTGTTTGGGATTCTCTGCACTTCCTGGACTTGTGTGTGTGTTTCCTTCACCAAGTTGAGGAAGTTTTCTTTCATTATTTTTTCAAATAAGTTTCCAATTTCTTGCTCTCTCTGTTTTCCTTCTGGTACCCCCCACCCCCACCAGGATACAAATGTTGTTAGACTTGAAGTTGTCCCAGAGGATCCTTACACTACCCTCATTTTTTTTTGTTTGGATTCTTTTTTCTTCTTGCTTTTTTGATAGTGGTGTTTTTTTTTTTTTGTTTGTTTGTTTGTTTTTTTGCTTATATTCTAAACCAGTGATTTGGCTCTTGGCTTCATCTACTCCACTATTGATTCCCTATAAATTGTCCTTTTTTTCAGTTAGTGTATCCTTCACTTTTGACTGGTTCTTTTTTATGCTTTCCATACCCTGTTATGTGCTGCTGAAGTTCTAATTTCACCTACTTTTTTCCTAAGTTCATTGAGCATCCTTATAAGCAGTGCTTTGGACTCTGCACTTAGTAAATTGCTTGTCTCTATTTTTTTCTGGCTTTTTTCTGGATTTTTGTTGTGTTCTTTCATTTGGGCCATGTTTCTTTGTCTCTTCATTTTGGCAGTCTCCCTGTGTTTGTTACTATGTATTATGTATAACTTCTATGATTGCTTGGCTTTGTAGAATGCCCTAATGTAGTTGTGTCCTGTAAGGTCCAGTGGTACAGCCTCCCCTATCACCCAAGCTGGGTACTCAAGCTATGCCCACTGTGTGGGCTGTGTATACCCTTCTCTTGTAGTTGAGCCATCATTGCTGTTGGCAGGTCAACGGGACAGTTTGCCCAGGACAAGTAGCTGCAAGGATTGGCTGTGACCTCTGACCACCCACCTCCAACCACTGCAGAGGATCACCGGGCAGGGGCCCACTCCATAGAGAAGAAGTTACTTCAGCAGGGCTCTAGTGTCCACTGAGTCTTCCCCTTGAGTGTGTTGCTTGTGGGGGTGGTTGGATGGTGGTGCTCTGATGTGATCTGTAGCTGTCCACTGGGTGCAAGCTCTGGGGCCTCCTGAGAGGTGCAGGCAAACATCAGTTACGGCCTGTGTTCTGACTGCGGCCACTGGCATAAGCTACTAAGTGATCTGCAGTTGGCTGCTACTTGTGTTGGGTTTGGAGGTGGCCAAGTGAGTTCAAGCTGTGAACAAAGGCCGGCTACTGTTAGTGCTGGGCCTGGGGCCATTTAGCAATAGGCATGGGCATGCTGAGGCCAGATGCTATGTTTCTGAGAGAATTTAGGAAAATCTGAAGCATGATCCAAGACAAGCCACTTATGGAAAAGCCACCGCAAACAGCTTGGGTAGGCCTGCAAACGGGTTGTGCAGAGACTCCGGGAATCAGCAGGGTGGAGCAAACAGCGTGAACTAGGTTGATGGAATCTCAGGTAAGGCACCAGCTTGGTCACTCTTTGGCTCTGTGGGTAGGGGGATGTTCAGAAAAGGAACAGTGGCCTCTGCCAGCACTTCTGTCTGGGAGAAAGCTGTCCCCCAGCTCTTGCTTTGATGCTGGACCCCTCAGTTTCTCCCTGTATGTCTTTGGTGCTTTTCAATCTGCTGCTCCTGTGCTGGAGCTCAGAGGGAGTGAGTCCATGTTAGTCTGCACGGGCCCTTTAAGAGGAACTTGGCAGGCTTTACTTTAGATGTTCCTTGTTAAGAAGAAAACCAGGAGGAGACAAATGGCGGAGTCTGGCCTGCGAGGTCCCCTGGTTTGCTGTGGATAGAAGAATGAGTTGTTCCAGACTCCGCTGTTTGCCCAGGAAGGAAAGGGGAAGGCGATTTTCTCTAAAGGAGAATATCCCGAGGCCTTGTGCTCAATGGCTTTTATTGAGAGGGTTATAGGCAGGGGATAGGTAGCAGGAACACATAGATAATCTAATCACATCAGTAGTTTAAGCTTCCAGAGAATAGGTGATGTTTAAGGAAGACAATGGCCAGAACACACCAAAGTCCTTTGGGTCCAAGATGAGCAAACATTAGGTGGTCAGGTGGGATTTAGGTCAGGGGCAGGAATTTTATAAATTTCTTTCCCAGCCTTGAGCTGATTATCTGGTATAGGATTAAGAGAGCTTGAAGGAGAAGCCAAGCATGCTTCAAGGAGTGTAGTTTACTTCTAAGTCTGATTTCCCCAGGAGCCCTCGGAGTTATTATTTGGTGTTGCCTGTAAACCACATTACCAGTGTTCCAGCCAAGTCTTATGGGTCCTCTCCCAGGCCCCCGCTAGCCCGGGACTACGGTTCCTGATACCACTCAAAGCGGCCCCCTACAGAGACAGACTTATTTTATTTCCTTCTAAGTTATTATGGAGCTGCAATCTTGCCAGGAATATTTTGGGAAGGGAACAAAGGAGAAGTTGGGTCTCACAGTAGCAGCATGGGGCTCTCCCAGAATGCAGTGGAGTATTTACTATTGGTCAGATAGGTTGGTTTACACTTCGTACATAGACAAAAGTAAAACAGCAAGAGAGGTAGGTGGAAGGGGAGGGGCAGAAAGGACAAGAAATGAGGGGGAAAAGCAGTAGTTGTAGAAGTGGCCAGTGAAGCTGTAACACTTTTCCTGTGTGGTGACTGGGGCCCCTGAGGATGGATGTCCTCTGGTCTGTGGGAGCTCATCTCACTTGACTGGGGTCAGAAGACCTAAGGCTTCTGTTTTGGAAAAGAATGAGTGCTGAGATAACTGCGTGGTGACAGCTCTTCTTGTCTCTTCCTTCCTCCTGGTAAGGTAGTGGAGCCTGGGTTAGAAGGTCAGCCTGGGCTTCCTGGCCAGCAGCCTCCTCAGAGCTGCCTTCACCTCCCTGTTCTTCAGACTGTAGATGAGGGGGTTTAACAGAGGGGCCACCACGCTATACTGCACAGAGAGCACTTGCTCTAGGACTGAGCCGGATGCTGGAGTCATGTACCTGGAAGGCAATTCCACAAAGGGATAAGCTGAGCTCAGGACAATGGCTACAGTGCTGTTGGCAGCTGCTGCCCATCCCGTCCTAGAGATTCTGCAAAGACGATCCTCAGAGATGAGCCAACTATTACCGGTAGCAGCACCTAGAAATGACTGTATGGTGAGTGAGAAGTCAGGCATTTCTGCCTTCAGACACCTCCAAACATGAGTGATCTTATGCAGAACATTACAGGAGCTGCCCTGGGGAAAAGTTCATCGGGCAGCAGATCAAGTGCTGCCGGTTAGAGCATAAGTAATAATAATTTCATGCATTTCCTTAGCACTTCATACTCTTACAAGCATCTTTCTTTATTAGCTGTGGTAATAATATGGGCAATTTTAGTCTGCTTTTCCCTATGTATACAACTGCATGTACTCATCCTGTGATCATTTATCCTTGCAAAACTGCTTAGTCCAATAAAGCTGTCATTGTTCCCAACATTCCAACTCTGGGAGGTACCCTCAGAATCATAGCACATTATTTTTACACTACTTAGTGGAACACACATTTGTCTCCAGGTGCATTTTTCTCTGACTTAGAAAAGAAGCCAGGCTTGGTAAATAGGTGAAGGATAAAAATGTGTTAAGCGCAATTCACCAATCCAAAATAATAAGGTTAAAATTTTGGATGCATGTTGTTAAATGCCACGGGCAGTATTTCCCAAAGAAGCAGTGCTTTTTTAGCAATGGTACCATCATCATTGAAATGTTCTTTGTGGGTTCTGGTGTGCTTGGTTTAAAAAGTTATTCATTTTACTGTGAGTTTTCATCATCTGATTTATCACTCCCAACAGTTCTGTGAGGTAGGTAGAAGAAATCTTATTGTCCCCTAACAGCATATGAGAAAACACAGATGGAGAGCTGAGGAGATGTGTTCACAACCTCGGGTGAGCTCTCTTAGACCATTCTTTCCCATCCTTTTCCACCCCTGGCTTCTCTCCAAGTCACGAGCAGGTGAGAAAAATATGGAACGATTTGTGCAATTCCACCTCCATTTTACTGATAGAGAGCAGACCATAATTATTATGCTCTTGTAAGCAAGGACTCATCAGCTGGAGCGGTTTGTGTCTGAGAGAAGCACAGTAGAGAAGAGCATGAGGTTTAAAGCCAATGAGACTCATTTTAAATTATGGCTCCATTACTTGCCTGTTCTGGGACCTTTCAGAAATTACTATTATTCCTGAAACTCAGGTTCCTTGCCCAAAAGTGGGGTTAATATTTCTCTTGTAGCATGATACGTACTGAAACTGATCATGCAAAGCAGCTGGTGTCTTGTAGGTGCCTAATAGATAGTTATAGCATAAAGAGACTTTGGAGACATCATCTTCCAGCCGGAAAGAAAGATGGGATCTGTTTCAAGAATGATATGTTTGATATGTTTCATTTTCTGGCTTGTACTGAATAAAAATGTACTGAAATCTCCCTGATTTCCTTTATGAGAACTCCCAAATCATAGGTTAGTGAAAGTAGAACATTTTTAGTCCTTGTATGAGCTCATTTTTTAGAGTAGACCACTGAAGTCTCAAAAAGAAGATGGATTTTTTTATAATTCAGAGTTAGCCTACAGTAAAGCCAAAACTACAACCCAGCCTTCTGAATTCCATCAGAATGATTCATTATCCTGCTACTTAGCAATGTCCTGTTCCCTAGACCAGGGCCACTTAGGGTGAGGAATATCCTATGTTTGCTACCAGGAGGTATAGTATGACATACCTGCAAATTCCTGAACCAAAAGAGATGGTGACCACAAAAACATGAGAGGAGCAAGTAGAAAAGATCTTGCTTCGTCCCGCGGCAGAGTTGATGCCCAGCGCTGTCATAATGATACGGGTGTAGGAACTCATCAATAGGACAAGGTTGCCACAGCCCAGGACCACCACGGTTGTCAGGATGGTGGCATTGCTAACGTAGGTGTCAGAACAGGCCAAGAGGAGCACTGGGGGAAGCTCGCAGACAAAACTATTGATGGCGTTGGGGCCACAGAAGAGCTGTTGAGCCAGGAGAAGGGTGTTTACTAGGCTGCTGCCCATTCCTATAGCCCAGGATGCTACCGCCAGGCCGATACATACCTTCCTGTTCATAACCACCACGTACAACAGTGGGTGGCACACAGCCTGGAACCGGTCATAGGCCATGACTGAAAGGAGGCAAGCTTCAGTGGCTCCAGAAAATAAAACCAGGGTAATCTGAGTGAAACACTCAAGAAGGGATACAGTCTTCCACTTGGAAAGAAGGTTCTCGAGCAGTTTAGGCACAACGACTGAGGAATAGAGAGCATCCAGGAAGGAGAGGTGACTCAGGAAGAAGTACATGGGGGTGTGGAGGTGGGAATCGGCTCTGATCACCAGCAGCAATAGCAGGTTCTCCATGAGGATCATGAGGTAAATCACCAGGAAGAGTACAAAGAGCGCTGCCTGGATCTGAGGGTTGTTGGATACTCCCAGGAGAACAAACGCAGTGACTGTGGTTATATTGCCAATTTCCATGGAGCAGTCAAGTTCTCCTTTAGAGGGACACAAATGGAAACAAATGCTCAAAAGGGTTATCAGTGTCAGAGCATGGCTGGTGATGAGGCCTTGGGAGTAAAGCTTCACAGCCGACCCAGAACAGATCATGCAGCAGAGACAGCCCTGCCGTGTCAGACCTCATCAGCCCTTCCCAGCTGAAGACAGTAACCTACTGGCCATGGTGGAGAGGTGGGAAGGAAGAGCGTGGAGTCAGGCACTCCTCCTAGGAAGGAAAGAGAAGAGAGCAGGGATTACCCAGACTGGAGAAGAAAGGGTGGGAGTGGGCAACAGGTGCCAGAGCAGTGCTAAGTGCTGTTCTCCAGTTTCTCCAGTTCCGAAAGGAACTGAGACCAACCCGTCAGGAGGGCTGACTAGCAGAGTGAGTGAGTAAGAGTGAATGTTTTGGCTGACCATCTGGCTGACAGACCAGGATGACTATCTGAATGCTTGATAGGGGTATTGTGGCACCTGATGATGGTACAAGACCTTACTCTGCTGCTGTAAATTTGTGCATTAAAAACAACAACAACAACAACAACAACAACAACAACAAAATGGATTCATTGAGGAAAAACAGTCTGGGAGAAGTAAATGGCTTCTCAAGTCCATTTCAGCTTAGAAATCCTAAAGACTGCGGGCTGATCTTCCTTGGGTATTTGTGGTACTAAGTAGAAAACTCCTCTTCCTCTGTGCCAGCACAAGCAGAAGTGGCACACAAGGGTGCTTGCTGGTTCCATGGAAGCCAGGCAGGAAGAATTCCTCAAGACGGAAGTCAGGACTGTGCACACCAGTTGCTCCAAGGCCTCCCCATCCCAGGGTCTCTGTGAATCTGTAATGTCCACTTCTTGCCCTGTAATCTCAGGTCTTAATATGAGAGTCCACGAAGACTGGGTTGGTCTCTGAGTTGCTACCAGGAGATTTGTATAAAACCAAGTCAAACTTGGACCATCTTCTCCATGTTGCAGGGATGGTATAGCCAAAAAAGAAAAAAAAAGAGAGATAAAAGATAAAAGAAGAGCGGTGAAAGGGACAGTTACAGGGTTTAGTGTTGGTCAGAGGAAGGTAAACTGGTCAGTCCTGCCTCCTTGATGCTAAATGAGGCTCTAATGTCTATTCATGGCTGCTCATTCACAGGTTCCCAGAGTGGCCAGTTTTAGGAGAAGATGCGTTTTAATGAGAAGGAGATTTCTCTTCCCCTGGGCTCCCTAGGCGAACAAGAGATGCTTTCAGCGGAAGATACCTGAACTGTATCTGTTCCAACACCGGAGCAAAAGCCACAGGCATGGTTAGAGCTGTGGCTTGCCTGACCTTGTCCTTCCTTTAGGAGACACAGGGTTGGAACTTCTGAGCAGGGAAATGTCCCTGTAGTCTTTCTGTGCCCAGGGAAGCCTTTTTGACTCTGCTGCCCAAGTAACAATGGCCGGAGGGACTTGATCCTGGCTAGTCCCGAGACAGGAGAGGTCCCTGGAGAGCCCCTTAGGCAGAGGGCCTGCTCTGAATCTGAATGGGTCTTCCGCAGCCACCTCTTCCTCCCTTGCAGCAGCCTTTTTTTTTCAGTGGGCTGCATCGTCTAAGAGGGGCCCTAGGGTGGCCGATAATTTCTAAGGCTAAAAATATAGAGTTCCGTGGTTTTCTAGCCCTGAAGGTTAAAATTCTCTCCCTCCCTCATTGCCTCCCTCCCTCCCTTTCTCTTGTCCTCCCGGCCTCTGTTCTTCTCTTTCTTCCCATTTTCTTGTGTTTTAAATTTATGTTTGTGGTTACAAAAACATGATAAGGACAAAAGACAGAAATAAGAAAATATGTTGAAGATATTTTTGAGATGAAAAAGTTATTAAACATATTTTAATGATAAAAGAAGGAAAAAAATACATCATGTCATCCAAAATTAATAAATTAATTCTTTCATTTATTGCAATTCCAAGAAAACCCAAATAAATTAAAACCTTTAAGGAAATTTCAATTGTGGTAAAAACTTTTAATATAGACAAATTTAAACACATACGGAAGTAGGAAATACGTGTAAGTGGTGTGTCTTTTCTGGACATCATATTTTCATCTGATTATCCATGTAAGTCACCAAAGCTTTCTTTCTGCACCAGAATCTATCTGCAGCATCAACAGCCAGGGAGTCATATCATTAAAGATAACTGGAGTACCACTACTACTATTCCAAAGGTTTTACTGTTGATTTGCTCTCCTTTCCTAGGCTGTGCGGATCCAACATTTATATATTGCAATATGATTGCTATTATAGTGATAACTAGTTCCTCCATCATGTTAAATAACTGTCATTTCCAAGTGGTTATGTCCATGCAAGAAACTTCCAAATCAGCCCTAGCAGGTGTGGCTCAGTGGATCGAGCACTGGCCTGTGAACAAAAGGGTTGCCATATCAGTTCCCAGAGTAGGGCACATGCCTGGGTTGCAGGCCAGGTCCCCAGCAGGGGGTGGGTGAAATGCAACCACGCACTGATGTTTCTCTCCCTCTCTTCACTCTCTGAAAAAATAAATAAAAATATTTTTAAAAAGTCCAAATCAACAGAGAGTTTTTTGGGTTTATTTGATGACAATTGCCAGGAAGCAAAATCTCAATGAATTGAGAAAAATGCTCTGGAGAATGGCACTTTTGCAGCTTCTTTTATACATTAGAATAAAAAGAGGTGATGTCAGGAGGGTAGATTCAGGGGGCAGGAGAAAGCAAAGTGGAGACCGAGTAAGAAGCAAAGTGGAGAGACACACACTTTTCTGTCGGTGGGTGCAGGATAGTTAGTAATGAACATTTTCAGTGCCCAGAGCTGGAATGTGGGGAGCAAGAGAGCAATGAGGGGCTCAGTGATCTCTGGCTCTGGTGCCTGTGGGTGTGCCTTGCGGGGTCTAGAAAAGAGATTACTCTGACATTTCAAAGGTATGCTATTTTAGATGTAAAAAAGACAATAGACACGCTCACTTGAGGCAAAGATGGACCTTTGCTAAGGAAGCTGCAGGTAGTAGGATGTGACCACCTGCTGTGACCTGCTTTTTAGTTAGAAATTTTAATGTTCAGACCATTCTGGGTGGTTACTTTTGTTCCCTGAGTCTGTGAGGCCCACCACGCAGGCCCCCTCTGAGCTTGTCAGGGTTAGTATGTGACCCCCTTTTCCTTCCACAGTTCGAATATTTAAGTTCTAGTCTTTTAGTAAGTTTTGTCATTATAACACAGTACTGCTGTGTGTATTCACTGAGCTGTGCATTAGAGCTCTTGGACTTATTTACTGCTTGTTGCAAGTTTTCACCCTTAAGCAACGCCTGTCCTATTTCCCCACGGCCCATCTTCTGGTAACCGCCATTTTAGTCTTTGTCTTTATGTGTTGGACTTTTTTAGATTCTACATATAAGTGATACCATCCATTACCTGTCTTTTGCTGACTTACCTCACAGCATAATGTGTTCAAGATCCATCGGGATGAAAGTTCAAGTTGCAGGGTATCCTTCTTTGTCATGGCTAAATAATATTCTCTTGTATACCACATTATTAATTGTGCACCACATCTTCTTTATCCATTCTTCTGCTGATGGGCACTTAGGTTATTTCCATACCATGGCTATTGTGAATAATGCCTGAATAAACATGGGAGTCCATCTATCTCTTCAATACCCTGTGTTTATTTCCTTTGGGTATAAATCCAGAAGTGGAATTGCTGGGTCATATGGTAGTTTTATTTTTACTTTTTTGAGGAACCTCCGTCATGTTTTCCATAGTGTCTGAACCAATTTATATTCCCGCAACATAAACACCCTACTTTGATAATACTATCAGCAATGGTATCATCCACCCTTTTCAAGGATAGCAGAATCTGTGATGCTATCATTGGTCACCACCAATTCCCTCCTTCCCTGGCTATATAAAACATTTGGGATTGTAACACCCAAAGCGGGGAGGCTGTTAATTTCATTGGCTTGTTGGGACTTCGGTGTTAGCGGTGGGAACCTATTTCCTTTTCTTCTCATGGAGGAGGGGATACTAGTTTCTTTTTGTAGAATCCAAGTGAATGTGATCACAAGGAAAACACACAAAAACAGGGAGTGCCTGCAAGCGGAAGAGGCAGATCTCGTTTCTCTGTTGGGCTTCCGCTTCAGCAGTGGACTTGCCGACCTTTCGTCTGTGCCTATCTGAGCCAGGGTGAGAAGACCCGGAAAAGCGGACAGGGCACAGAAGGCAGGTGCAAATGCAGCAACCTGCTTCTCCGCTGCTTTACATGACAAGAATGTGTGACTTTTGAGGGGTGGGTAGACATTGTGCATCTTGGAAGAGAGGTGGCATTGGACTCTCACGATTGTCACATCCAGTGTGGTTGTTGGGGGAGGATTCCTCTGTAGCAAGAGGCTATGGGGTGCTGCCGCTACTGGAGAAGGGCTGGGGAAGAGGGGAGTGAACAGGAGTCAAGTCTTCTAGGTCAGGGAACTGTGCAGAGAGAAGGATCAGCAGGATCTTCCAAAGAACGCCCACACCCCGCCACTGCAGCCGGTGTTGGCAGAGCTGCTGAGCGGAGGTCATTTTTTGATCAGCCATTGCTACAGAGAAGACAAGTGAAGAAGCAACAGTGAGAAAGTAACAACAGGGCTAACTACAGGGAGTCACTTGTACTGTTTGTTCTCTGTGTCTTTTTATTTTTATTTTTGTCTCCCAAATTGGAGGAACTGGGCCTTAAAGAGGTGGCAGAGGGGATGTCAAGGAGCCATATGAAACCTCTTCAAAATAGTAAGCTCCCAGCTCTAACCTGCCTTTGGGGAAGGAGAAGAGTGAGGCTTCACTTAAATCTGGAGAACAGGACTTAAATTAGAATGTAGCTTTGTTAAACAAATTGATCAAGATATTAAGGATCTGCCTAGTATCTCTTAAACAATAGGGAATGGAGGTCACACAGTCCAGCTGAATTAAGTGACTGGTAAGAAACCCCCAATCATTCCATGTACACATACTATGGAGTTGGGATTCCATTA